GCTCCAGCAATTTTGTTACTCCCGTCAGTATGGTTTCCCAAGTTGCAATTCTCCTCTTGACTTTCTCTGAGACCTCAACAAGCAATACTTCGTTGAAAAGCTCTCTGGAAGCTAGGACTCAGCCATTTTTGTGTTAGATGGAACCAGGTTGAGTTTAAGAGTTGTAAATGTATCTTTGCAGAAAAATCTCCTCTTAGTCAAAAGCCTGGATTGTGTTCCAGATTTCCTTTCCTTTGAGGAATGCAGAGACATCAAGGGCCACTTCTCCTGGTTAACCCTGTACATTGCCTATTGAGAATTAATGTTAAATCGTTTCAGAATTGTAAAGGAAGATCTGTACTTTGCATAGGAGAGAGCAGATCCTTAGTCCAGAGGTACTGGCTCAAGTCAAAGAAGATAAAATACCCTTTCTTTATTAACAAGGGAAGTGTTCAGCTTTTCCAAAGACCCAGTTTCCTGTGAAATTTTCTTAGTAAGCCTTAGTTTTAGAGGCATTATCATTAGCTTAATTATAACAGGAAAGAAACAAAGTTCTTTCAAGTGACCTACTCTGAACTGATTATAATTTCTGACATAAACAACATGTGAACACGAGACATAATCAGTGACCATTAAAGAGTGTCAGAATAGGCATTTGTACCAACAAGGCTTAACCCTTGTCCTCTTGTCCCTCACATGAATTAAAAATCCCCTCTCAAATGTAAGCCACGTATCTTCTCCACTCCATCTTAGCCAAAATGCTGAGAAGCGATACCCATGTATCTTCTTTCATCCATTTTTTCCTTAGTTCCACCCAACTGTTGCCTGAATGCTTTCATAAATCTTTGCATTTACATAAGCTTTTATTCTTCACTTTAATTCTGTTTAAAGAAGTAAAGATTGAAAAGCAAAGACTATGGACAGTGATAATATGTAACAGAGGAAAGGAAAATCAGATATGAATAAGGAAATGAACAAAACAAATGACTTTTGCCCTTAACCTCTACAGGCTTGATGTGCCCAGAGTATCCTTTAGAATCTGCACCATGTGATCTTGCAAGGAAAACTGCTTTATTAAGGCACAAGTAAAGAAAACAAAGATACATGAAGTCCTCATTATTTATGTTGTACTGTTATGGGGGCAGTCATAATATTTTTCCAGTCTTTGGCTATAAATGCACAACAATGAAGATAAGGTTGTGTATGTTGCCCATTCTTGAAGTGTTGCTACCATTTCTAAAAGTGGGATATAAGAAGAACTGTTCTGAGCAGTAAGCAAGGGAGAGGCGATAGCGATTAACATGATCTTGTTCATCAGTAGTGCTGGGCACATTCTGGAGCCAAATGTATAGAGGTTAAAACTCTGAGCAATTACTCCATGGGCAGGCTTTGCACATTTCACAACCAGATATTTAAGTTTATTGTGCTTCTCCAAAAGCAAAACAGTTGGGGTAATATTTACCTTTTGTGGTTCATATAGAGATCTTAGAAATTAAAGTTTGTATAGTGCTTCACCGTCTGGCACAGAGTAGTTTTAATTGTTGAATAAAGCAGCCAAGTTTCCTGTTTGAACTTCATATTTTTAAAACATGATTCATTCTAAGAGTTGTGTGTATCGACAAATGTCTGTATCACCCAAATATTTTATTCCTTTGAATACACAGTATGCTTTAAACCATCAGTATACTTACTTGCTGTCTTGTAGTCTCTCTGAATGTTAGTAAGCATACATTCAGTTCGGTAGTCAAAGCTGCATCACCAAGAATGACCTGACCACTTATGTTTTGTAGACAAAATATCATTGATGGATGACTGTGTTGTATTTGTCGGTGTGCATGTGTTCACTTAAGTGTACAGGCAGGCAAGATGCCTACCTGTGAACGCACAATAAAAATTAGTTCCAAAAATGAAAAGTAAAACATTTCTATTTAGCATTAAGTAAATAATCATATCCATATAATCGTACTTACATAGGACTTCTAATATAAATATTGCATTTTATTATGTTTACTTAGATCTTAATTATCTACAATGTTTTAATAACACATTGTTAAAACGTGATATAACTTATGTGTCAGTTCTTAAAATTTAGACCTGTAGAGCCTCAAAGTAAATCAAGCTGTGCATACATATGGAACTTGTATAAAATATGCACAGGCAAGTCTTCATAAGCAGTAATTGATATGTAATCTCCTTGTGTACTAGTGGATCGTTATTTATAGTATTATGTTTATCAGAATAAATTAATTTTGGAATGATTCTTTTTTCACTTGTTGCTCTAGTCTTCCAGCAACCACTCCCTTTTGAGGATGTTCAATTTGCCAGGTGTTCTGGTTGTGAATAAGCGAAGACTAGACTCCCATAATCCCTACAGCGGTGTAACAGATAACCTCCACCCCACAACTCGGGGTACAGAACAGCGGTGTAACAGATAACCTCCACTCCACAACTCAGGGTACAGAGAGCTGTTTGCGAGGTTAAAAAAGACTATATACACAGCCTTGGCAATGCCATATCAAGAAAAGTTCCTAAGTGCAGCAATAAAAGTATTAGCATTGTACACTTAGGAAGTAAAACACTTTTCCATTCTGTACACTTTCGGTCTGGATACTTGAGCACATTTCTTACTCTTGGTGAGCTTCCATAATTCTTATCTTTAAAAAAAATCACAAAACTTACTTTACTTTAAAAAATAAATGGTAAATAAGTGGAATAGTTATTGCTTTTGTACTCCCTCCCATGCACACACACAATCCGCCCCCACTACCTTCCCATTTCCAACTCACTTTATCATATTCACCCTGCCTTAATTTCCTGCTATCTTTGCTCCACATTCCCATCCAGTTGGAGTCCTTGTCAAAAGGCTCATGCTCTTTCATGGGGAGCCAAAACAAAGCATTTTATTTAAACAATTCTTTCCCATCAGAATCCTCATATAACTTTCCTACAGATCTTTTTTCTCAAGGAGCAGAGCAGGTAAAAACGTGTAATATAAGACTTAGGACATAAAGATAGTCTTTATGTAAAACTATCTGAATACATTCTTAGAATCTAGAACCAAAGGTTTATTTAAAATACTCATTCTGTGAAATCCTTATAAGGTAGCTGTGATTTCTAAACAAAATCTAGTTTGGTTTAAAAAATGATTAGTTCATGGAGATATTACATGACAGCTTTTTATGGGAATTTGGTTCATTTATTTTTAAATATTGTTTAAACAGATACTGAATAGCAATAATAGAGAGAATATTTGGATTAACTAGATGAATTCTATTATACTTAAAGCAGGAACTTTGATACAAACCAGTTCACACTTTATATTTTATCTTTTTTCTTTGTTAATTCTACATGGACTAGTTTTTCTTTGGGGACTCTGTTCAGGCATCACAGTCAATGCAATTATTACTAAAATCTAAAAATCTGGGACATATGCCTGAGGGAAGCCTTCCCAATACTTAAAAAATATTAAAGATATTTTAGTATCACAGATGTTTTCTTATTGAAGATATTTTTGTATCACAGATGTTTCATTTTCAAACATGCTTTGGACCATAGAAACTGTGATAATAAGAAGAAAAATGTCCTATGCCCATCACTGAAATGAAGGAAGTCATTCTTTTATTTTTAAAGTGTGACTCTCCTTCTTTCAGTTAATGTGGGTTAGTGAACTACAATGTATTACAGCATCCTACAAATTTAGTACAGTCTCAGCTGACTTCTTTTCCCTCTTCTTTTCTTGCTTATTTTGGTCTACTTCGGATCATCGTTAATTTGCAAAAAGTTTAACACATTAGCCTCTAAAATATTCTTATAAGTTCCAGTTACTACATAAGACCTAAATTTGCATTAATTGTAATATTTTGTAATCTGATCTCGTCACTTCATTATTTGAAGCTTCCACTGAATATCCATTTTCAAAAGGATGCTGCATCATTCAAGTCCTTTAGGAATCTTATACTGATCAAACTCTTAGGAAAATTCTGTTTTCACTCATTGCTCTAACTTTTCTACTCTAATGCCTTTCTTCACCCTCCCTCTATACTTCAAATTTCATACCTCTAGTACTCTATAATGTTTCAGTAAAGAAATCCAGTCTGTAATTCAGAGCCCTAATGCCTCCATTTAACAAAACATCTCGATTTACTCTGATGAAAATAATTCTTCTCTACATATAACATTGTTAAATTTAGTTATTTAGTCCATCTTCAAACAAATGTCAGCCACTGCAGTGAATTCAAAACTGAACAAGGATATTTCTTTGCCTTCACATTGCATGAAGGTGTTTGCTTTGTTGGAATTGCCTAAGTTTTATACATTCTTATTTGTTTACGTATTACGTTACAGAAAAAAAAACTGTCAACTCACTCAGGGAAAAGATAAAACTAACTTATCTTTACATCTCTAGTTTCTAGCACAACTTTGTACATGGAAGAAAACAATAAATCTTTGTGGAAATGAAATGAATTCCCAGTGTTATTGCTGACTTCCGGTTCATGACAAGTGGTACACAGGCTTTCTGGGGATTTGTATTATTTACCTATGGTAAGTTGGTCTTTGTAATAAATTTATTGAATTTATTGGTCTACAAAATACATATCTATGATAATAAATTAACTTTTTACTTTAATGCACTTACACTGTAAAGGGTAGTACTGATTTCAAAGAGAGAGTATAGATGCTGAAACCAAACTGCTTGTCTGAGATCCTGGCTTATCTTTTAATTACATGTGTATACTTGGGCAGGTTACTTAACTGCTAGATTTCTCAGTTACATCATAAGTAATAATGAGAGTAATATCCAAACTAGCTAAACAGTTGTTTCCATACTGTGAAAACACCTTAATAATGACTGACAGGCAGGTATTATATGGCTGTTTGCAGATATTACACCAAAAAAATGATTACAAAAGATTATCTGGTTTTGAACGTGTCATTTTTTTCTGCCTGAAATATTTTTCCTCACATTGATTACAGCATCAGTTTCTCCAGGTGGTCTTGCTATATTTCCTTTCCTGTTTCATTTTAATATTGCACACTTCTCAGATGTGCATGTCATCGTCGCCCAAGACCCATGCTAATCTGCTCTGTATCATTTTAATTTTAGCAAATGTGCTACAGAATCAAGCACAGAGTACAGCCTATTTTTCTTTTTTTTGAATCACTTCCCCAACTCAGTTCTGCTAGAAGGATCCCTTCACAGATCATTCATTTCACCTTATCTTGGATGCATATTTTATTGCAATTTCCTCACCCTGATATAATTATCTAACTGCATCTGTTGATTCCAAATTTGTACCCCAGACATAGCAAAGACCCTAGAACATGGCATATGCTTAATAAGTACCTGAATGAGTACATGAAAAAACTGAAGAATAATGAAGGCGTTAGAAAGTCATGTTGAGAAATTACTGACACAGTGCCGACTTGTCTCTCTGGTGTGAGAAACTGAAAGGGTAAAGGAGGACCGAAATGTACAATAGATCATGTGAAATAGGAAGTAAAGGCTCAGAGGGGACGAAGGATATGGGAAAGAAAAAATATGAGCATGGAGGGAAAAAGATGGAAATAAAGCTTTTGCAATAGGGAGGGGTTTAGGACTGGAAAAGAGGGCAGGGGAATGGGAAAAAAAAAGAACTGATACATCATGTACAGGTACTAATTCCCAATGATAAATGCGATCGTAATATATGCCTAAAATGTGCCAATAAAGTTAAATTTCTAAAATCACATATTATAAAATACAGTCCAAATATATACGACTTATTTTTAGAAGGTCTCAGGAATGCCTCAAACTCCTGAGTTCCACTGATTTGCCATCCTCAGCCTCTTGATTACCTATTAACAGAGGTAAATGCCACTGTGCCTGGCAATGAGGTCTGTTTTCACTGAACTGCAAAGATAGAAACATAAAGGAACATGAAAACATGAAATTCTTTAGGGACAGTAAGGCAATCAGTTTGTGGGGCATGGAAAAAATAGACTTCTTAGGAATTAGCTTTTTGTAAACCTTCATTTGTAGTGACCTATTCATTATCTATCTTACATTTTTAAAAATCTGTATTTGTGACAATGATTGCAATTTGATATCTTATGTGAAAATTATTAATACACTGTTAAAAGTTATATTATGAGACTTGTTTTAGTTGAATGGTTTTGGTATTCTGAATGCTTTAATATTTTCTTGTTCTTAGTTGCTTTTTCCTCTCTCACTCTGTCATTCTTCACTGAATTGATCCATTAATCAATTAATCAGCTCTCCATCCCTGTGGCAAAATACCTAGCATAAATCAACTTTAGGTGAGAAAAGATTGATTTGGGCTCACAGTTTCAAGGTTTCAGTTCATGGCCTTTTGACTTTATTGCTTTGGGTCTGAGGCAGAACAGAATACAGGGAGGGGAGCATGTAGAACGGGTTGGTCACCTGATGGCAGAGAGCAAGGAGAGAGGAAGGACAAAGCCAAGGAAGTGACTTACCCCTCAAAGGTTCACCTGTGTGAACTACTTCCTCCAACAACACACTGACAGCCCACTTAACATTGGGTTTGCCCAATGGCTTAGCTCTTTGATGAGGTTACCACTCTGATGATTCAACCGCCTACTTAGGCCGCACCTATGAGCATTAATGACTCCACTGAGAATGAAGCCTTAAACACGTGTGCCTTCGGAGACATTTCGGACCAAAATCACAACACTTTCTCTGGAGGTATTTTTTCTAAACCAATAAAACAATGATGAGATGGAAAGGAAAAAAAGATCTGGGTCTGAGAAGTCTTTCATTTCTGTTCTTATTTGTAAAGGTATAATGATGTTACATCTATGACATGTAACAAAGTTTATTCCATTTTACAAAAAAATTTCAGTAAATTCTAAACATATCCATAGGATTTGATCTATTAGTAAATGGTACTTTTTAACTGTATATTTAGTATAGCTTGTTTAAAGAGATATTTATGTATTGGATTATGATATGGAATTATTCAATTATTCATGGAGGTGAGAGATTCTGGGAGCCACATGAGCCCCTCTCTTTATTTTGAAAGAATGTGCATTTTTCAAACATAACTATATTGTTATACTCACATTCATGTAGATACCTGAGAGTAAGAAAATGGACAAGAAAAGTAATAACATTTGAGAAATCCCATTTTTCACTCAAAATAAATATGACTACCTGAAATTTTAAAATGTTCAATGTTATCAGAGATAAACATTAGGCAATTTGCTTCATATTACTGATGATTAAAATAAGCTTATTTTTCTTATTCATAGTAAATTTCTCATCAGAAGCTATACTTGTCACTGTCATAAAAAGATTAAGGGAAATTTAAAAATGGACAAAGGTCTTTATGGATCCTGTACTCAACAATTAGTATTTCAGAAATATAACGGGAGAAGGCAGTAGAAACATATCTCCAACTGACACAGAGCTCCTGGAACTTCCAAGTTTGGAATAGACATAGTTCTTTTGGAAACACATTAGACATATTCATCTATCATTAATTTTGGAAAGACAAACAGCATGGAAAGAGAGAGAGAGAGAGAGAGAGACAGAGAGAGAGAGAGAGAGAGAGAGAGAACAGGGAAAATAAACTCAGACACATGGAGCAGACTACTTTCCGAAATCAGGGTAAGGCAAAGGATGTGATCACTTGGTCTTCTGTTTGTTTCTATAACCAAAGCTTTTATTTACTTCAAAATAGTTTATTGGAAACAATTATAATTAGTTTAAATAAAAGAGCAGAAAGAGGAGGTAGTGCCTGGAGATAGGAAAATACCTTAAGTGAGAAATGAGCTTTTCTTAATTGCCCAAAGGAGAATTTACTGAATCTGTTTTTCAATGGCACATTAATTAGAGCTAAAACTGGCTTAGCATTTTTTATGTGCCAGATACAGTTTTAAGTGCTTTATATATATATAACTCAAATGAGATTATCATGATGTTGGCACTCTTATAAACCAATTTTATCAGTAAAGAAACTGAGGTACACTGAGAATAAAGAGCTAGTCCAAATTAATAGAGCTGCTGGATGGTGGAACTGGGAAATAAAAAATCTGGCTCTAGAGTTTGTACCTAAAAAATGGGGTGAAAAGGATCTAAGCAATACAATCAACATGGCCATATCATTTTAGGTGGATTTATTAATTTCCCATTTTCAAGTTAAATTATATAAAACAAGATATTATTTGGGAGTATAACATGCATTTTATAAACTTGTCAAGGTATTCTGAGATTAGTCAGTAGGTAGGTTGAACTAACTGATGAAAACTACGGGGAGAAAGAAGACTCTCCTCAAATCTAAATAAAGAAAAGAAGTTTACCACGTTTTCTCAGTTAAGGACAAAGTAGTCCTTAATCGGTCTAAGCTAGAATTCTGTAACTTTCACTACTCTTCAGCAAATGTTACATCACAAGTTCCCATGTTGACATCTTGAATTTCTCAAATCAAAGCTATCATTGCACATAGTTAAGAAGGACAAATTTCAGAAATGTAAAAATAACAGTTTAAATGACCACTTTGTGCTATATACAATTAGAAAAAATTTAGAAAAGTCATTTAGTTTATCACTTCCAGATCGCATTTAAATGAAGATTTGGAAGGGTATGTTGATACTCAGAAAGAATACATTCTATCAAAGAAAATTGCTACTGTTTTATGCTTACAATAAAATGGAATACTTTGGAGATTAACTTTCTAATTTCCAGGTAAAAATACTCCCGTGTTGCTCATTATCAACTATTAACTTCACACACAGGAGCTCTAAAGGAAGCCTAGGGAATTTTCTCATAAGTGCTAACACACACACACACACGCACACACACACACACACGCACACACACACACTCCCATCATACCTGGGGGAAATAAAAAACCCTTCTGATTATTAGTTTTACTTTCCACATATAAAATCTCAGTCAGGATGCTTCAGGGAGACAGTGTTGAGTCTTTTAATAAAGAAAGAAAAAATAGAGAGAGAGAGGAAAACTATATTTTGATTTTGGAAGCTATATTTTCTGTATCACAGTTTATTTAAATTCATGAGAGAAATGACAAACTAATAAGTGAACTTATATCTTAGTCTCAAGCAACTACTTCCAAATTATCACTTGATGATAATTCCTGAATACTATTTAGTATGGGAAATACTTTATTTTTCTCTTTGGACCTTTTATTTTTTCATTCCATTCCAAACTCAGAAGTCCTAACTCTCCACAAATCATTGGCAAGCCAAGTAAAACAATATAAACAGAAGGTTGTTTTTATTTTAAGGGTGAGGAGCTTTAAATAACATAGGATGGAGCTCAAGCACCTGAAGTGATTGTCCAAATATAAATACACACACACACACACACACACACACACACATATACACACACTTCCACATCTTTTCATAAGGAAATAAAATAAGCAGAGTTCATAAGCCCTGTGAGAAGCAGAAACCTATTACCAATATTTAAACTTACATCTGTAAATCTTATCTTTCTTTGCTCTCCCTACATCAATCCAGACAGAATTGCTAATAGAAACAAAAGATGTAGAATCTCTATCTGTAATATTTAACAGTTCTTGGCACTGGCCAAGTCTTCTTCATGCAAGAACGGCAAAATATTTTAGATACAATGGTGACAATGGAGTCGCAGTTAAGCATGAAAATGAATGTAGGAGGTTTTTAGATGAAACAATCACTATTTTATTTTGTCAGCAGAAGCACACAAAATTGATTTTGAATATACCATTTTCTTTTATTTAATCTAGTATGTCTAGAGTGCTGATGATCTGTGTATTGTCTAAAGTATCCTAACAAAAAAAATTTGGTTCTAATTCCTTTTGGTTGTGACAATCTTTTTATGGCTCAATGAGGAATAACTATTTCAGTTCTTTTATTTATTTTTCCTTTTTTGGTACCAGGGATCGAATTTCAGTCCTTGTGCTTGCAAGGCAGGCGGTGGACCCACTAAGCTAAAATCCCTGGCCCAAATATATAAATTCTTAACCTAGAAGATCTTTGAATAAATAGAAGAACATCACAGCTGAAATTTTTTTTTTTTTACTCAAAACATACTGAGCTACTACATCACACATAGTTACCTTTTTTATTTGGAAATGAACTTTAATCTGTATTAACAAT